AAGAGTGAAAAATTTAAGGGGGTCTGAATACTTTCCGTACCCACTGTAATTTAATGAGGTGCAGAATTAAAACAATTCACCCACTTGAACGAAAAATGAACCACTTTTACAATTAACCTATTAGACGAGTTTGAAAAAGAATTGATGTTCTGTAGCACATTTCGCCGTGTGGCTTTCCATCCATCTTCCTGTCTTTCAGCTATTCTATATAAAGGTGCCATCAATCAAATCACAGCAGCCTACCTGCTCTCCCGGAGTTGAAGACATTTTCTACAGCTCACGTACAGTCTCCTGAAAATACATTCAGAAAATGATCTTCTAAAGGGTTAAACCACAAAGAATCCCACAGACTCTAGAGTTTAGACACGTTTAATGTCTGTCTGCTAGATTTCCGTTGATTCACTGTAATGCCAAATTATTCTGAATTTATGTCAACACAATCATTTTTGAAAGAGGAAAACAAGCAGAGAGAGCTAGAGAGACTGTGAAAAACATGACATGATGCATAATGGTCATCTTCTGGAAAAAAGGTGGATCATATTTTGACTCATATTTTAATTTCCCTCTTTTCTACATTAATGGTGCTGGTGATTCCATTATGAACACTACAAAACTGGCATAAGGGACCCATTTCAGTTAAATTCTTAATTTGCAATAGTAATATTGTTTTTAGAAAGGTACTGCAGAGAAATCTAATGAATATGTATTGAATTTCATTTGAATATGTATTAATGAATATGCATTACTTTTTTTTTCAAGAACAACTTGAGGATGGCAAATTACACAGTAATGGAGGTGAGACACCGTCCGTTTCTCTTTCTCAGTGTGTCTGTTGTCATTGTGGTGTTTTTACGTATCAGTCAACTTCAGTACTCATTACATTGAGACATTTCAGACTCACTTTGCTCTAAATCACACATATCCTTTCATCTTTCTGTCTGTTTGTCATGATAGATGCCGTCTGAGTCTCTTCACTGTCGACATCCTTCATCTGGCACTTGGTATTAAAACACATCTCTCCTCTCCTCTCCACTCATTTAATCTCTTACCTCACATGTTCTCATCACTTCTCTTCTGTTCTTTCCTCTTGTATCTTGTCATCTCATGCTGACTCATCTCTGCTCTTATTGTCTAGTGGTTGGCCAATATATTGCCATGGCTTAAATATTGTCTATTTGGCTTTTTTATTTTTTTTTTCAGATCATCAGCATTAGCCAGTAAGTTTTTCTGTTTGACTGTTTGAGGATTAGAGAATTAAGGAGAAGTTATAGCTTTCTATAGTAAACATTTTTAAACGTTTTAATTATTTTTTTAATTTTTAATTTTCAGTTCAATTATTTTAAACGATATTAGCAAACGTTATGAAAAATATTTATTTTACAGATTTCTTTTTGTCAAGTTTAATTTATTTGTTCAAACTGATTAATTAGCAAATTATTTTAGTGAATATGATGTAAAAGAAATATTAATTTTAAAGTTTTTTTTTATCAAGTTCAGTTTATATGTTTAAACTAATTCATTTCCAGGTTAATTAAAATTATTTGAGTAAATATTATGTAAATATTCATTTTACAGGTTAGTTTTGTTTTGATTGATTTCAAATTATGTCAGATTATTTCAGTAAATATGATGTAAAATATTTATTTTACAAATGTATTTTACAAATGTAAATTAAATTTATTCAAATTGCTTCATTTTCAAATGAATTATATGTATATATATATATATATATATATATAAATTCAATAAAT